ATGACCCAAACCCGACACAATCCGCCCATTTGCCAGGTCTACATTTTAGGACGTCCATTACAAGTTAAAAAAGGTCAAGGGTCGAGACCGAGCCTTTAGACAAAAACAAGTGGTCCTTGCAAAAACAGCCAATAAATTGTGATGGGTGAAAAGTCTGTTTGTAGCATTCCACAAGTGAAGTTTGATGAGATAGAAAACAACGGTGCATTATAAATTGTGGCTCTTTTTCTTTTCATATAAAAGGAGAGTAGAAAAAAGGAGAAAAAGAAAGATCAAAACTCTTGCCACATGTTTTGTATAAAGTCATTTTGCTTGCTATTTATATGAAAATGTCTATAATTCAGTTTCCAAGGTCAAGTCACACTCATCAAAGAAAGTTAAGATGACTATAAAGAAAAAAAAAGACAAAAAAAAAAGAAAAAAAGAAAAAAGAGAAAGAGTTAAGAAAAAGGACGTGAGATATTTGACACATAGAGCATTTAAAAATTGGGATTTTAACTCCAAATTTCTGTTTTTTAAGTCAAATATATGGTCAATAATTACGGATTTGTTTTTTTGTTTCATCAAATCAAATGTGTTTTGTGGTTCTTATTGGTTTGAAAATAGAATCAATTAAGGACGATGGAATGCCAATCATTTTATGTTTGGTATGGGTGAGTGATTGCTTGAAAGCAGCTTGATGGGCCAAAACTTGAGAATTTTATCATTTTGGTGAATGGGAATAGAATTATAGATAAGGTACCGACTTTAGTACATAATTTTGAGGAGGACCATCATAGAGGAAGAAGGCAAAATTTTCAATTTCAAATTTTATCAAGAAACTATTAAAAGTTATCAAATATGAGAGAATATAAATACGTATAAAAAAATATTATATTAAACTTAAAAAATATGCTTATTATGTTTATAGATTTTCACATATTTACTATATTATAATACCTTATATTTTCTTTGATATGAAATTTTATGCACATCTCTTAGTCTCACTTACATGTGAATGTATACTCCAATATAAAGTGTTGAATTAAAAAAGTGATAACAGTAGCCTTTAATAAGAGAATGCCATTTTCTGTTGAAATATACCAATCAAACTAAATTCGGCTCCATTATACAAACTATTCAACTGTCGATCGAGCTCATAAATTCAATAACAGAAAATTTGTGGTTCTGTTTCTGCCTTTTATTGTTCATATAACTATCTAACCATCATATAACTATGTAACCAACATTTTTCAGTTTTCCACGTGAGGGCAATAAACGAAATAGAAAAGAAATAAAGCTTCCAGCGAGGATCGAACTCGCGACCTTTCGCTTACGAAGCGAACGCACTACCACTATGCTATGGAAGCCACTTGTTTACAGAATTTTTTTTTCTTAACAAGATAAGAAAAAAAATACAGGAAAACAACAAATGGTTAAGGGCAGAGTATTCTTTTTCCCCCAGCTCGAGAGTCATGACCGTGGGCGGTGGGCTATGAATCTCTTTGGGTTTAGTGGGCCTGCTTTTTTAGGTTCTCTTGTTTCATGTAGGATGCAAGTGCCGGCCCGTAATATTTGGGCCAGCTACAATTCTGTAAGGCGATATGATATGCTGCTAAGAAATATGGCAAGGAACGGAATCAAAAGGGGTGTGTGTGTGTGTGTTTTTTTTGGGGTTAGTGTAAATTAAAATTTTCATTAATTTCAAAGGATTCAAGTAGTTGTAGTTACATCCTTTTAACTACCAAAGAAATTTCGATTTAGTGGGAGCACAAGGGTGCTCTAACCTCTAACCATTACATGAATATTTATAATTTCCAACAACATGAAGGTAATCACTTTATATAGAAACCACATGGAACTAGATGGTTTGGATCCACTTGTAAATATAAGTTTCACTTAGTAAGTTCAGTGTTTAAGTTTTTGTATATATTTAAAGAAATTAATTTTTTTAATATATTAGGATGATGTGAAAGACATGTAAAAATACACAAAAATTGAACTACAAACAGTTGATCAATTTGTAAATAAATTTTAAAAAACTTTTCCTGTATTTCTCCAAGATACATGTGAATCCCAAACTTTATATTGAAACAAAAATAATTAACTACGATGCGCCTCTTATTTCTACTAACTGCAAACTATCTATATCACATGGTTTGATTTGATTCCCGTGACGTTGGAGTTCTCTAGAAGTTACTCTTCATTTTTCCATTAATTTGATGTTCCTCCCAACATAGAAAAGCAGAGTAACCACATGAAACTTGTATGGTTGGAGCAGACCACCACGTGAATTCCCCCATTTTTATTCCCAAATTTGCCATAGTTTATTCCTTTAATTACCTCCTAAATAAATAATAGAACTAGCTATCTATCTTAATTTGTTAACGTTATCTTCCTATATTTTCATAAAATATCTAGCTTGTTCAGGACACAAAACTCTTTTCTTTCGGACAAAACAGTTTCAGCTGTCCACATAACATTCCACTGATCTTATGTTTCCATAAAAAAAATATCACATCTATTTATACATATGGAAACCATATTCAAGTTCAAGTTCTAGCAATCTCCTTGTCTTTTCTTAACCAAGATAAAACTCTCACCTTTTCCAATTCCAATTCCAATTCCAATTTATCATCATGGCTCCGAACAGAGAGAATCTCATTGGTTCAGGGAGCAAAAACGTCAACAAACCTCCTCCTAGCCCGATTTCCATGAAAAATCTACAACGAACAATATCGGATATATCTTTTGAACTAAGCAAAGTTGAAGTTGATGATCATCAGACGACTAGTGCTCTTCCGCCGATATCTGAAGTCGAGGATGTTAAGTGCGAGTGCTGCGGGATGTCGGAGGAGTGCACGCCTGAGTACATAAGTGGGGTGAGGAACAAGTTCATAGGGAAGTTCGTTTGCGGGCTGTGCGCAGAGGCGGTCAACGAGGAGACGGTGAAGAACGGAGGGAAACGAGAGGAAGCGTTGAACGCGCACGTGAGTGCTTGCATTAGGTTTAACAGGTTTGGACGCACGCATCCAGTGTTGTACCAGGCGGAGGCGATGAGGGAGATCTTGAAGAAGAGTTCCAGGGTTAGGCGTAAGTCTATTAGCCCGAGGGATAAGCGTGTTGAGCCTAAGAAAGGTGGGATTGCGAGGAGTTCCAGCTGTATTCCTGCCATTACGAAGGAGATTAATGACCAGACGTTGGTTAATTAGTTGATGTTATTCTGAATCTCATGCCCTAAAATGCTATAGAAAGGTCTAGTTTCCTGGTAATATTAGTTTATTTCTATGAGTTGATGCTGTGTAAGAGCTGTTTACATCTTTAAATATGTAATTATATTATAGAGATGAAGGTGTATTCTCTAGTAATTAAGTGTTTTAATAGATTTCTTATTTATACCTAACAATAACCCTGGATTAAAGGGAATGGAGGAGAGGAAAGGGAAAAGTTTTTTAATTAATCAAATTTAAGGTTTTTTAATTTTAAATATTATAATTTGATTAGTTTTTTTTTTTTCAGCCCAAATATATTATAAAACTAATTGATTCTCAAATTTTTTTTAAAAAAAACAACTTTTATTTTACCTTAGTGTATTAAAAGCAAATTAATATATGTATCTACGTATATATATTGAATTAGCAAAATAAAACTTGTAGAAGAAACATGCCTGCATTGAGGTTATGGTGAGATTGGATTTGATAATTACTTGTATTTGCAATCTAGAATTGGAATTATTCTATAATGTTGCTTGGACTAAGAAGGTACATTTAGATATTGCTTTTCAGTAGTTAATTTGGGTTGGACTGTAGCTCCTCAGTGCCAAAGAAAGGGGAATCTTGAAGTAAATATCAATGTCCGAATCATAGAAGAAAAAGTGTAAAAGAAAACAAATGTCGATGGAGGCCGGTGCATGCCCAAACCTACCCCCGCCCCCCCCAACTTTTTTTTTTTTATTGTGCATGTATGCGTGGGAGGTTAAAATCTATTTTTAACATTTTACCTTAATAAATTTGTAGGTTTTAACTATTATTTTATACTATAATATTTTTAACTCTTTATCTTAATAAATTTATATGTTTTAATCTATTACCTTATATTATGATACTTTTAGCCCCTCATCTATACAAGTTGAAGAAAATAACTCTCACTTTAGGTAACATTCTGTTAATTTTGTTAGTTGACTGTTAACTCTATTAGTTGATTATTAGTATTATATGAGTATTTCGTTAACGAAACTAACAAATAAAATTAAATTTAAATTTTATATTTTATATAACAAAATATTAACAGATGCTGACAATCAACTAATGAACTTAACAATTAGTTAGCAGAGCGTCAGCTATCAAGACTAATAAAATGTTATAATCTGATTTTAAATAAAATAATGGTTATTTTTTTCAACTCATATAAATGAGGGATTAAAAATGTTATAATATAAAATAAATGAGTAAACCTATAAATTTGTTAAGATAAATAATTAAAAATACTACAATATAAGATGAAAAATTAAAACTTATAAATTTATCAAGAAGTAAAAAAAGTAGTTTTTTGGCCGTGCGGAGGAAAGGGCCTCGGGGCCGCGACCTGTTCCACATCACGTGGGCAGCTGGATACCACCAGGCCAGAACATTGTTGCCCCGAAGTTAGAGGATGAGAGGAGAAATTATCCTTCTTATTCTGGGCTTAAAGTGGGCTATATTTTCTTCACATGGTCTGGTAAGTGGGCTGTACTTATAATGTTGGGCCTATAGTTTACGAAAAACGTAATGGGCCTACATCTGAGTTTTAGTTGAAAAAAAAAAATGGTTCCAACATGTAGCTTGTCACATTTCTGTATCAACATGAACATGATATTCGGGGATCACATAATCACATGTTTAGCGTCAATAAAATAAAATAAAACTAGAATCCTCTGTTTTATCAGACTTTAAGACATGGGTTAAGAGTTTCCAATATCAAATCTATCCTCTATACAATATTTATAGTTGTACAACTTAATAAAATTTAAATTATATAACATTTTTTTTATAGTACTATACTTTAGTTAAACAAACTAGATTTCTAAAATTTTAAAATTATTTAAAGCTCAAGATAACTTCAAGAGTTAAAATTAACTAATAAGTAAATATTATTTTATATTTAAAATTTAAATTTTAAATTTTAATATCAATACTTAAAAAAACAATTTCATTAAATGTGCTAAGTTAATGATAAAATGTATCTTTAAAATTATTTGTAAAGTATTTAAATCTCCTGATTTTGAATCAAACACAATTATCAGGCTTCAAGCTCAAGTATTCTAGAGCTTGTGTGGACCTGAGTCGATCACAAGTCTAATCATAAATGCGAACATGGAAAAAGAGGATCTTTAATCTCTCTAGAAGACCTTTTTCTTTTATCTATTTTCAGCTTAATTATAGTAGGAATTATGGGGGTAGGACGAGGGACCTTCCCCGGTTTCTTTTGATTACATCTCATGATTTCCATGCAAATAAATGTCTCCCTCTGGTTTTGCTAAAAAGGATACCCTAGACAATTTTAAAATGCTCGATACAAATCGATCCACGCATGTCTTGTATATCCATTATCCCCAAACATTGAATCAAATTGAAAAGTGAATAGAAAAGCTCGTGAATCTCATCTGTCTTTTTTATTTTAATAACCATCATCCATTGGACCATAGTTCTATTCAACAAATTGCATCTCAAACCCCCAATTTGCACAATTTGCCATCTGATCCTAACCAAAAAACAGCTCTCATAATTCATATAAATTAGTTATTTCACCCTGTAAAGTGCAAAAGTACTTTCCTCCCCCATGCATGAAGAGAAACTTTCCACAGTCACGCCTGCCTAGAACTTATAGGTGCTATAGCTAATAAGTAAACACTGTTGTATATGTTCATGAGTTTCCTTTACGTGCTCTTTCTGTATATATATACTAAAGACGCAGTTCGTTTTGTTATCTTGTATCCGTACATTTTGGTATAGCCATGGTATTTTTATTGGGTTTTATAATGATATTGCAAAATTGATTAATTCTATTGCTTGTTAGTAGAGAAAAATATGCTCTAACTCTACCATTCTATGTTTGATATCTTCTTCAGAATGAGCAGGGACTTCGAAAGGTGGCATCGGATGTTTCCTCAGAGATCAAGGGATATGCCGTGTCTGGCTCCTCTTCTTTTGTGGTTGATGATGATGAAGTAGTGAAGCAAGTGGAATGTGAATGCTGTGGACTAGGGGAGGACTGCACTCAAAGTTACATAACAAAAGTGGAGGGCTATTATGGTGGGAAATGGGTATGTGGCCTTTGCTCTGAAGCTGTAAAGGAGAGAATTCGACTAGCTCCAAACATGGCCTTGCATGATGCTTTCAGACTTCACAGGGATTTTTGCCAGAAGTTCAATAACACCACAAGATTAAACCCTAAACTCTCTTTGACATATGCCATGAGGGACATTGCAAAAAGAAGCGCAGAGAAAAGAAATTCTTCAACAAAACTGGCCCGGTCCACTAGCTGTGTCCCAAAGATCCATCTTTAAATTTGGGCCTCATAGGAAGTGGGCTAAATTGGGGGGGTATGGTAAAATGAGCTTGTGGACTGTTTAAACGGGCTGGAAAACGGACATGGGTGTCCCATATGGGGTAGGTTTTGCTTATTAATAAAGTCACAAGGGTAATAATTGTCTTATGGACCCAATTCTCTAATCCCCAGATCTTTTTCTTGTTTAATCAATTAATGCTAGGCATAGATGGTCCAAAATCTAACATAGCATATGTGAGATGTACACGTGAGAACATTGACACTCAACTTTTGATCTTTGGGGTTTATAAAAACTTGTGTGACCAATCCTACATATATCCTTTTCTAAATTGACCTTGAATATGTATTGGAAGGGAAGATTCAAATCTATACCTATACGAATATGCAACCATTTAAGAATATGTAAATTAGTTACTTGTGAAAAAAATTTATAGTCTACTAGGTACAAACTAATCAAGAAAACATCATCGAACTAGTCTCAAAATAGAAAAGGAAATCAAACAGAATCTTTTGGGTGGGAAATCGCCCTGTTCTTACTTCTTACCCATATCAACCAAAGTGAGAAAGGTTGTTGATGGGTTTCATGTGCAAGACGAAGAGATTGACTATGATTGAAGACAACCCTTTTTGAAGAGCAATTGCCACAGTGCAACAGCTAGCACGCTGGTACATTTCTGCCATGTGAAGCTCAATCAATCTTGCTTGCCCCAAAAAAAAAATTTCATATAATTAGTGTATGTATGTGGATTGTGGACCCTTGCGCCCGACATTTGTAGATCATAATGCACATAAAATCTATTCTTTTTGTCAAAAGTAACATTCAAGCTGAGAGCTCCAATTCATCTCTCATCTAATCAAAATCATTATTAAACATTAATTAATCAAACTGATTGATGATCTCCCTTCGGACCACTAAGAACAATAAAACCCTACAAAATTTCAAAAGGTATTAACAGACCCCTTATTCAAGGGAAATGGTCGGCTCCACGTCATGCACACTTCAATCTTTATATAGGAAATTAAGAAAAATTATTAATGTTAAAAAGTTTTTGTATCTTAATTAGTATAAGTACAAAAACAAAGCACTAAAACCTAGTTTTGGATTGTAACGTGCCCTTTACAGCTTAACTTTTCAAAAATTAACGTTGTTATCTTACATAATCTCAGGGGAAATGGGTTGAATCAGCATTTAAAAATTAATTCATTCGTTCCCACAATCCTTAATTAATTATTATTGAAATACTACAGCTTAATAATATAAAATGATATTATTTGTTCTGAGAGTCGTACATATATAATTTGTGCAGTGGATGACAGGATATTTTCCCACTAAATGATATATAGTAGAAAATTTGATCTAGATATATAATGGATTCTTCAGGCCTAATTAGTGGAATAATCTTGATCATGTATACCCATTTTAATATACATATATATGCATATATATTTTTAATTTATGATTATTTAATAAAAAGTAATTCTCTTTATTTTTATAACAATTTTTAGGTAAAATGTGATGATAATTCAAATCATGAGTTTCTATTGTCTAATAAATTAAAATATAATTGAACTTTTACTTTTGAAAATAAGTGAAGTTTTAAGTTTGAATTCCATGAAAAATTTAAGTATAGTAAATAAGTGATAAGAAAAAGAAAGTGAGAGAGAGAAAGAGAGAGAGAGAGAAAGAAGGCTCTCTTTTGGTATAGTCAACAGCAATACATAATCAAAGAGTACATGTACATATATTCAATAATGTGATTACAAAAAAGCAATTAAAAAGGCATGCAACTATAGGGCTCAAAAGGGAGAGATTTCAAAGAGTGGAGAATTGTAAAACCCTAGAAAGTACGAAATGGGGGATGGGATGAAGAAGAAAGAAGAGCATGCTGGGTCTGACAAAGACCACTCACTGTATATTCCTTCGAGAAAGAGACGGTGGGGTCCCTTCCCTTCACACGAGAGCATTAGTGTTAACGTAAAGACAACCAACTTTTTCTTTTCCTTCAACTTTCCCTCTGATCATTCCTCTTTGCCTCATCACTTGTAACTCTTTGTACTCTCTTTCTTAAAGGACCCACTCTTTCTCTTTTCACTGTGGAGGAGAATCCAAGACAGTAATAAACCCTCCAAATAAAGGCAAAAACCAACATTTAGTCCTTTATCTTACAAAATTAGTAGGTTTTAGCCTTTTACTTTATAATATGACACTTTTAGCCTTTTATCTTATAAATTTGATAGGTTTTAGCCATTCACCTTATAAAATTAGTAGGTTTTAACCCATTACCTTATGTTATGACATTTTTAATCTCTCACCTATACAAATTGAAGAAAATAACTTTCACCTAATATTAGGTTATAATATTCTGTTGGTTCTATTAGCTAACTGTTAATATTCGTTAGCATTTTGTTATAGAAAATATGAAATTTAAATTCAATTTTATTTATTAGTTTCATTAACGGAATGCTAACGAATTCTAACAGTTAACTAATAAAACTAACTGTCGGCTAATAGAACTAACAGTCAACTAACAGAACATTATAACCTGATATTAAGTGAGAGTTATTTTCTTCAATTCGTATAGATAAGGGACTAAAAGTGTCATAATATAAGTTAAGAGGCTAAAACCTACTAATTTTGTAAGATAAAAGACTAAAACCTATCAATTTTGTAAAATGAGGTACTGAAAGTTGGTTTTACCCCCAAACAAAAGGGGTTTGAAGAATTTGCTTCTACCTTCAATATTAGTATTCATAGGAGATTTATATATACCCCTTCTTCTCACATTTTCTCATTACCATTTAGAATTACACAATGGCCAATTAAAATTTTTAGGTCTTATTTAGTTTAGTTGTTAAAAAAAATTAATAGTTGATCTAAATCAAATGAATAAAAATATTTAAATTATAAATAATAATTAATAATTAATAACTATTAAATATTGATTATTGACTATTAACTATCAGTTTAACCTTTAATAATAATTTATTATAACTTTAATGTCTAATAAACAACAATTTCACCTATAAATTTAAGCAATTGCCCATTTCTCTCACAACATTTACCTTTTTTTCACCTATAAATTTATGCCAACAAGTCAACAACTACAAGACTGAAACTCAACAATTGATGTTTCTCCATACAAATACATCGCCATGCTATCATTCCTATCATTCTATTTGACAACATAGATATGAGCAGTCGAAAGTTTGATTTTGAATCTTGCTTGTTGACCAAGAGACCAGAGATTATTGCCAATAATCACCCCACTTAACGTTACTAATTAACCGTATTGTTTTACTTTCACCAAACATCAATTTTTCCGTTGCATCATAATGTTTTATGCCAACCGTTAATTACCACTAACAATCACAAACATAATTGGTGAAGTTCTCTGAAAAAGGCACAGCAAAAACCAACCAAACTTTTTATGTATACATCTTGTTCCACAACATTATATTGCTGTAAAAAACTTGGAAAAGAGTAGGAAACACAGCAAGAACAAAGGCATGAAATCTCATAAAAACTTTGAAGCTTTTCAACGGTTATAGATCCCAGGAAAAAAAAAATCCAAAGTTGGTCAAAAGAGCATTTTGGTAATAAATCCGACAAAATCAGAGCCTTTTCCAACATCTGTCCCTGTTCTTCTTTCAACCGTTTGTATTCAAACATCATTCAAAGCAAGTCAAGGTGCACTTTAGTAATTAATCCTCATTCCCATGCCCTTTTTCCTACTCCCTTCATCCTCCATCTATTTATACACTCTAACTCTTTCTAAACATTCCCAGCACCCAAACATCCCTTCCTTTCAGCTCTTCCAAACCAGTTCGTATGATTACACTTCGTTAGGTACGTTACTTTTAATGTTCTTCCTAAGGAAAAACTTTTTGTGTGTTGCATGCATGTTACTTGCATAATGTTCTCTTGTACATTCATGGCAATTTAATTTGGTATGTTCTTGGTTTCTTTAATTCAAAAATGTTTCTTTATTCTTTCTTCTTGGTAATAATAAAGTTTATCAATAAGTATGTTAGTATGTATACTTAGTTTATTACAGATATTTGAACACCGGACAGTACTCATATTATTGTTTAGATGTATATGATAACTTGGGATCCGTGGAATGTTTGCAGTGAACTAGAATCATATCTTTGTTGGAGATAGATGTTGTAGATCAAGATGTCGAAGAAAGGAGCTAAAACATGTTCAGCAGTAGTACGGCCACTCATGCTAATTTTCTTCATGAGTTTTGGCTTGTGTTTTGGCAGTGAACTTGAGCTTCTCTTGTCCTTCACGGCTAAAATCAATGATCCTTCTAGCTTCCTTTCAGACTGGAATAATTCCTCTGCCACCTTTTGTCTTTGGCATGGTATCACTTGTGATAATTCCTCCCATGTTACCTCTGTTGATCTTTCCGGACAAAATTTTTCCGGTGAAGTTTCCTCCTCCATTTTTCAGTTACCCTATGTCGAAGCTATAAACCTCTCCAACAACCAGCTTTCCGGGGAGATTCCTCATGATGCACTTTCTTCGTCTCCACCTTCACTTAGGTTCCTCAATCTTAGTGACAATAATTTCACCGGTTCAATTCCAAATGGTTCAATTTCCCAACTTGAGACGTTGGATCTCTCAAACAACATACTCTCCGGGGAAATTCCACCAGAAATTAGATTCTTCTCGAGTCTGAAATATCTTGATCTTGGTGGGAATGTTTTGGTGGGTGAAATACCAATTTCCATATCAAATATCAGCACCCTGCAGTTCTTGACCCTGGCTTCAAACCAATTAGTAGGCAGAATTCCTAGTGAATTGGGCCGAATGAAGAACTTGAAGTGGATTTACTTGGGTTACAACAATCTTTCCGGTGAAATTCCAAAGGAAATTGGAGAGTTGAATTTCTTGAATCATCTTGATCTTGTCTACAACAATCTCACTGGAGAAATCCCATCCTCTCTGGGAAACCTTGTTGACCTTCAGTATCTCTTCCTTTACCAAAACAAGCTTACCGGTTCAATTCCGACCTCCATTTTTGGCCTTAAAAAGTTGGTTTCTCTTGATCTCAGTGATAATTCTTTGTCCGGAGAGATTCCCGACTTCTTGATTCAGTTACAGAATTTGGAGATTCTTCATCTTTTCTCCAACAACTTTTCAGGGGAAATTCCGAGAGCTTTAACTTTTTTGCCTCGTCTTCAAGTCCTACAACTTTGGTCCAACAGATTCTCCGGCGTGATTCCGGAAGGTCTTGGAATTCACAATAATCTCACAATCCTCGACCTTTCCACCAATAATCTGACCGGAAAGATTCCAGAGGGACTATGCAATTCAGGGCGCCTTTTCAAGCTGATTCTCTTCGCGAATTCTCTCGAAGGCAATATACCGAGCAGTTTGAGTGCATGCAAAAGTTTGCAGCGTGTCAGGCTACAGAACAACCGTCTCACCGGCGATTTGCCATCGGGATTCATGAAGCTGCCACTTGTATACTTTTTGGACGTCTCAAACAACAGTCTCACCGGAAAAGTTGGAGAGCAAGAATGGGTCATGCCGGCCCTTGAAATGCTGAATTTGGGCAAAAATGGCTTCTTTGGGAATTTACCGGAATCATTTGGCAGTGATAAGCTCGAGAACTTGGATTTCTCGGGAAATAGTTTCTCAGGTATGATTTTTTATTTTTTATTTTATTTAATCTGAAAATAAGAAGAGTTATATTGTTAAGGTTTTGAAATTAAGATATATTAACTCGACTAAACTTCTTGTTCATCATTATCAGGTACAATCCCAAGTAGCTTTGGGGGGTTATCCGAGCTAGTGCAACTAAACCTACGAGAAAACAAGCTCACTGGAGAAATTCCAGGGGAATTATCTTCATGCACGAAGCTTGTGAGTCTAGACCTTAGTCATAACCAGCTCAGCGGTCCAATTCCGTCGAGTTTCTCCAACATGCCCGTTCTTGGCCAGCTTGATCTGTCAGAAAATCAATTGTCCGGCCAAATACCGGCAGATTTAGGCAACTTGGCATCACTTGTTCAGGTGAATGTTTCTCACAATCATCTATACGGTAGATTACCGCACACCGGTACCTTTCTCGCTATAAACGCAAGCGCAGTCTCAGGTAATAATCTCTGTGGTGGCGATGATACCAGCGGTTTGCCACCATGCAAACACTCCGTTAAGAATCCGGTATGGTTGTTTCCCGTTGTTTGTTCAGCTGCTGCTGTGCTTGTGCTTGCTCTTGCTGCTGCTTTCATTGCTTTTATTAGAAGAAGGAAGAATTTGGAGCTTAAAAGAGTGGAGAATGAAGATGGAATATGGGAATTGCAATTTTTTGATTCCAAGTTTTCGAAATCAGTAACAATTGATGATATTTTGCGCTCAACCAAAGAAGATAACGTGATTTCTAGAGGAAAGAAAGGGGCTTTATATAAGGGGAAGTCAATTCAAAATGATATGCAATTTGTGGTTAAGGAAGTCAGTGATGTGAGCTCAATCCCAAAGAGCTTTTGGCCGGATACTGCAGATATTGGCAAGCTAGTTCAGCATCCTAACATTGTTAAATTACTCGGAACGTGTCGGTCCGAAAAGAGTGCATACTTGGTTTCTGAGTACATAGAAGGGGAAAGTTTAGGCCAAATCCTTGGCAATTTGAACTGGGAAAGGCGGCGGAAAGTTGCAGTTGGGATAACAAAAGCTCTGAGATTTTTGCACTATTATTGTTCCCCAAGTGTCCTCGTCGGCAACATGTGCTCGGAGAAAGTTATTATTGACGGACAAGGCGTCCCCCATCTGAGATTGAGCCTTCCCGGTCTTCTTCCCGAACATACCAAGTTTCTTATTTCTTCTTCCTGCGTTGCTCCAGGTACATCATTAATTAATTTTCATTTTCGTATATAGCATTAATTAAGTAATTTAAAAATATTTGGTATAGTTGTTTCAAACTAATTATTAGTAGTTAGATATATTAAATAGGATGATAACCGTTATTGTTAATTATTTAAATATTCTTATTCTAAATTACTATGATTAAAAATATAAATACTACTCACAACCTAACCAAATAATAAGAAAGTATCTTGAAATAAGAGATTGAATTTTTTCATGTCATACAAGTGAGTGAACTAACATATAAGAGATGTTTATTTTTATTATTTAATTCATTTTTTTCTTTTAAAAAAAAGTAGACCACCAATTCTCTAAACTAAAAAAAATTTAATTAAAACCCTAGTTGAAAGCAAATAAATAAATAAATAAAACCCTAATTAATACCAAAGCCCCTAAAATTAATTTGCTTGCCATAATGTTTTATTCTGCTGCAGAAATTAGAGAAAGCAAAGAGATTACAGAAAAGAGTGATATCTATGGATTCGGTCTCGTCCTCATCGAATTATTGACCGGAAAAGGCCCCACTGACGCTGAGTTTGTGCACCAGAGCCTGGTGGAGTGGGCCCGTTACTGCTACTCCGACTGCCATCTCGACACCTGGGTGGACCCCACGATCCGAGGCCATGCATCCAACAATCAGAACGAGATCGTAGAAACGATGAACTTGGCCCTCCACTGCACTGCTGGCGACCCCACCGCTCGACCCTGTGCCGGCGATGTTCTAAAAACCCTAGAATCCTCCTTCAGAATACGTTCTTGGGTTTCATCAAGCCTGAAATTTTCTTCTCTTTTTTAGTATTTTCATGATTTTGTCCCTGGATTTTCCATTTTCATTTTCTTAATTTTGGTTTTTAACTCCTCTAAACGTTTTGTTTGATGGTATGTTGTTGAATACATACTAATTAATGAGTGTAAAAATGTAGATAAAATTAATTAATGCCATTATATGATAATAGTATGAATGAATCACAGTTTTCTTTTCCCCCTTTTAGAATTATTAATTTTCTTCTAAAACCTTTTTACAAAAAAATGGAATACATCCTTTTCCTCAACTCTTGCTCATCATCGTGGAAATTAATCAGTATTTAGTATGTCCCATGATTATTGCTCCAACAGTTTTCTAACCATCATCAAACGCCCAATAAGTTTTGCTATACAAGTAATATAACAGATTATAGTACCAACAACCTAATAATTTAAGTAAAAGGAACTTGATTCTTATTAAATAAAGTTTTAAATTCAAGTTTTATTATTGAAAAAATAAGTGTTAAATTTTTTTTTTGTAAGATCTGATGTAATTTAATTTTAAATTAGTTGAAATCTACTCTCACTATCAAGTGCTAGAGGAGGATTAATATCAAAATAATAATAATAATAATAATAATATTGTAGTGAGTTGAGCTACTAGCAACCTTGTTTGTTAAGATTATCGAGTTATCAATATATGGAGGTGTTTGTTTTAGTGGGTGGAGAACAATTATCAGTGATTAACCTTAATCTAACAGTTCATATATTAAGAATAAATGTTTGATACACATATTTATTTCAAAATTATTATAAACTAAGTGTTTAGTAAAATTTTTTATTTATCGATTTAAAATTAACGAATAACAATTAAAATTTAAACTGTTAGTAGATTAAAAAAACTATTTAAAGTAACTTTTTATATCAAATTATTAACAAATTAGAATTTCTTAATTTTATTTGTAAATTTATCTTTTCTAACTTTTGGGTCACACAGTTTTTAATTAGTATTTGCTTAATTAGTTTCAACTTTATTTTGTCTTTAATAATATTAAGTAATTATTAAATATTTAGTAGTTATGATATTTTTATTCTTATTTTTATTTATCATAAAAAATATTAGTTTAATAAATAAATTTTACTAATTAGATGAAAAAATAAAAATTTTTGCAATTTATTTACAATTAATATAATTTTTTCTTTATTAAAAATAAAAATTAGTGTATAATTGTATTGTTATAATTTATTTTCTTTT